TTGTTGTTGTCATGTTAATCTAGGAAAAGTAAGTATTTTTATTCTGAATGTTACAATTGTAGAAAAATAACAATTTTTAGTTGATATATTTTTCAAAAATTATTATGAGTTTTGAAATATTATTCGACATGGAATTGAATCTTTAATGAAATAAATATTTATTATGAAATTTCATTATAAATTTTAAGAACACTATTATTACTTAACTTTAAATTTTTATATCTTATAATTTTATCCAACACAAAAAATTTTTAAAAAAAATAGTTAGTTTTGAAGAATTTAAAATTAATTCATTACGATTTTGACATGATAGGAATAATAAGTTATTTTACTCTGTATTTTCTTTGATTAACTTATTATTTCAGTTAGCAGATTATTCTTTGTCTTGTCTAAAAGTTTTAAAAAAAAAAAACTTAAAATAAACTAAAGAAAAAACTCCCAAAAGACCCAACCCACGGGCAATATCAATTTCCAATATAGAAAGTCTATTTTATTCGGAAGTAGTATTTTAATAGAATTTTATTTATATTGTTTTGACCAAAATATGACCTACAAAGTTATGTGAAGAATAATGTAAAAAAGGATATTTTATCCAGTATTAAGAACCCTTTTACTCCTAATCAAACTAAAACTATTGAAATAGTTAATACTGTTCTTGTAAAAAAAGGAAAAAATTATTAGAACCCATTACAAATTAGGCATATTTCAGGCAAAATCTTAAATACTAAGTACAATTTCTATTATAATTACAACTCTTTATTTTAATGTGCATTACTTCCAGTTGTGTCCTCTTCTTATGCCTTTTAGTGAAAATTATTTTAAGGTTATTTTGGTCTATCAACATTGTATTCGTGCTTTTATAATAATATAGAAGATTAGTCAAACGAGTTAATTATGTTATGAAAAATCTATTCTTTTTTTTTCTTTCTTTAATTCGTAAAGCAATAAGAATAAATTAAAGCATTTATAGAGCCAATTTGTGAATAGACACTTAACAGAATCCGGGATTGGAGAATCTTAATTCATTATAGTTTTTAAAATGAATATGATATTATTGTAACTTTTTTTTATCTTTTTTGTAACATATATATTTCAAATTCATATTGTTTCTAACGATAGGATATTATTAAAGTAAGAAAATCCGTAACAACTGTATGAGAATTGTAGTCCTTTAGGACAAAAAAGTTCCACTCTCTTCCATCTGAACTTTAATTTTTGAGAATATATTCAATTTCCAATAGCCAATTTACTTAATATTCCCATTTCAAAGAGTTAAATTATTTAGTTTTTTTTTTTTTTAACTCTCTTTCACAATAATTTTCTTTTTAGATGAATTCCCATCAATTATAAATGTAGATTTAGAAGTCAGTGAAATCACTGCCACCTTACATTTCCTTCATTTACTTGTGGTAGGTTGGTTATTTAAATTGAACAGAAAATGGCTTTGGCTCCATTCATTTACTAGTCAAATATTGTGTCTATTCTAGAAAATCTTGTAGGGACACAAGGTTCTAGATCTATGCCTAATTCTCCCCCATATTTATTCTAACAATAACAATATGTTTGACCCTTTTCTTTTCATACTTGCTCTTTTTAATTCTGAAGCTAATTTTCATTCTCCCTTTTAGGTCAGATTCTTATAAGTGAGATCATTTTCTTTTTTCCAGTGTCTTAATTCTTGTTATATACAACAATAACATACCCAGTGTAATCCCACAAGTTAAATATGGGGTGGATAATATATAGGCAGGCCTTACCCCTATCTTGTGCAGATAGAGAGTCTCTTTCAGATAGACCGTCAGCTAAGGCAAGCAGAATTAATTCTTACTAGATGTATCACCAATGGCGGAAGGGGGTTCATTTGAACTCCCTTCGCCGGAGAATTACACTTATTTTGTAAATTTTTTGGTAAAAATCTTGGTTCTGCCATTGTGTATCACTTTATATCACCAAACTTAGGGAGAAGGGTTTTTTTATGTCATTATTGGTTTTATAATAAGTTAAATCGTTAAATTTATTGCCCTGTTAAAAATAGAAACGAAAAACAAGCAAGCAGAGAAAACCATTGTATTTAGTAGGAAGTAGTTGCTCTCCTACCATATTCACAACTTAATTCAAACTTTCGTGACATTGGAATAAAAGCAATAACAACTACGTGAACAAGAAAATGACCAAATTATTCAATTTTATTCGTCCCCGGTAGGGTGTCAATGGTTCGGTTCGGCCGGTTATTTTATAAAATTTGTACCATACCATTTTGCGGTTATTCTACTATGTATAACCAAAATTAGACTTTCCGAAACCGTCCCAATCATGTCAATTTCTATTCGGTATCGGTAATTTTCGGTTATTTTTTTTAGTGTCATGTAAAAGTCACTAGTAGAAGTAGAATGCAATAACATGCGTACTTTTATAGGACTTCACAAAATTCTCTGGACATTTTACTGTTTAAAGGGTGATGAATGAAGAAAACATGAAAGATGGCCAGAGTATAGATCCATCAATTATTCTATAGCAGTGTAAAAGAAACTAAGCAAAGATAAAGAAAATATAAATCACACGAGTGGAAAGATATGAACCTGGGAGTGTTGAATAAAGTCTATAGAAGATTAAATATTCAAAAAGATAAATCTAAATCATACGAAAAGAAATATATTCATTACATTGTAGTTTGCTACTCATAATTGCTAGAATACCTTGTGTCTTGCTAGTGAATATGTTGGAAATAATTTAATTTCAATAGGAGTAGCATAATAGCTTTGGGAATTAGGATTTTGAGTTTACTTGTTGGCTTGTAACCGCTTTCATAATTCCACGGCCCAAGGAAGAATTTAATGCTTTGTTATTTTTAAACGTAATATATAAATATATTTTCACATCTAAATTTATTCGGTACGTTTCGGTATTTTTTCGATTTATTTTCATAAAATAAAAAATCTACCCTAATTATCGGTACGGTTATAGATTTATATTAAAACCTGCGATTTATTAAAAGAAACCCGAAAATCGGTTCGGTACGGTACGGTTCGGTTGGTTTTTAAATATCCATCGACACCTTTAGTCCCGGTACGTGATTACGTGAAAGACCATTATTTTCCCTTTTAATACGCATAGTTAAAAAATCTTAATATCTTCCTTCATTAAGTCACGTCCATTTTTACTTGAATATTATGAGAATATGATTGTCAATAACCAATTTATTAACCACCAAAGGAAGTGATTGAATGATAAAGGTTAATCCAATGTTAATCAGATTTCTTGAAAATGTGATGAGGCACCAAAGTTCGTTAGAGGGCATCCTACAACATGAATCCAAATTAGTCGGGTCTATAATTTTCAGACATCATATATCATATTGTCAAATAAAAAAATCAAACTATGACGAACAACTTAATCAATTTTAAAAAAGAACATCTCTTCTTCTTTCTTTTTTTTTCCACTTTAGGAGTACATTAGCAACATGTGTAGCGCTAACTAATGTTAGGATTTAACTTTCGATTTTGTAAGATGGAGAGCCCCACTTTATGCCTTTAACTAGTAGTACTAGATTAGGGCTTCGTCACTAGGAATCTTAATTAGTTGAATGTCACGTCCTTAGTCGTTAACTAAGTACACGTGCGGCACTTGACAATTTGCTCACGATCTTGCACAACTTGTTCACGTTCTTGATATGCCAAGTCAGCCTTACTACACTCAAGATTGCTAAGAGAATGTTAGAACACAAGAGAATTGCCAAAGGAAGCTTTTGTATTAGAGAGAAGTTGATCGTTTTGTTTGATGAGTTACAAATGAATAACCCCTTTATATACTAGTTTCATAGGGGCTAGTGAGTAAATAATAATCATTACATAATGCCCTTATTATTTACAATTAAGTCCCTTCCTAGAATATTCTAGATAGCTAGAATCTTCTAAGAACTTTCCTAGCAATTCCATAGGGTTCTAAGGTCTTCCATGAGAAATCTCCATATTTCTCTAGAACCTTTCCACATGTGCTAAATTATTTCCCAATTTCGAAAGGGATCATTCTTTTTGGAACGGACAAAAAAAAAATAGGTTCACATAAACTGGAACGGATAGAGTAGTTTATTATTATTATTATTATTATAATAATATATAGTAGTTTATTATATTTTGGTTGACAGCAACAAGAGAGTATCTTAGGCTCCATTCATTTGCAAGTCAACCAAGCAGTCACTTATAAAACACCATCACGTGGGAGACTCTACTGACACTCTAAATTGAAGAACATGAATAATTGTCGGCAATAAGACAAAATCACCCTTGTGTTAGAGTATCAATCATATACATATCCTTCTAACAATAACTATATAAGCCTACCATATTCATATATATTCTTATATTGATTCGAGCAAAATTTACCAAGAAAAGAGAACAAGGTCGTATAGTTGGTAAAAAATCAAAATTTAAGGTAGGTCGTCTACGTCACACCCTTGAGGTGCGATCCTTCCCGACCCTGCGTAAACACGAGATGCTTTGTGCATAAGGTTGCTTTTTTTACTATAGATGATATGAAAACTTAAGTGCACATTAATTGGAATGGATTTTGCATGAGCTCCCAAAGGTTAACAATGTTGACATTTCCTACAAAAGCAAAATTCAAATTCCCTATAACTATTTTAGCTCGATTAGACTAAAAATAACTTTGCATCATATGGTAGGGACAATAACCTAATTATGTTAGAAAACTATTGGAATTCTCTGCACTTAGACAACATAAAGAACTTCTCAAATGCCCTATTACAAATCATATCAGCATTGAATTAGGTGTAACAACAACATAATCACACAAGTGGGATCAATGGAGGATAGTGTGTAGTGTATACGCAAACCTTATCCCGACCTTGTGAAGGTAAAGAAGTTGTTTCCGATAGACCATCAGCTCAAGGAGCCTTGAATTAGGTGCATGACTCTAAATCAAACTTTTAAGAACACAACAAATGGAAGCTAAAGAGAAATTTAGGCTAAGAAGATAGGGGATACTAGAAGATTAAAATGTTTTCATTGATGAAACATTCTACTGATACAACAATAGAAATGCATAGCCCCTCAGAGCTTTTCGTTGCTACTCCCACTAATTTCCCTTTGCCTTAGACCCTATGAAAGGCAAACAAACCTTAGTGGGAGCAGCAAAAAGAAGCATAAGATAACGGGGTATTCAAAATTGGTTCACGTATTTAGTACAACTATGTTACATGAATACTTCAGTTGCCTACGTACCTTGTCTGGCGGGTGTCACCTGTTCAAAAGTGGCAGAAACGTACCCGTACCAGATACTTACACACACCACTGTATACATACATACCCGTAAACGAGTGAATATAACACGTTTTTATTTTAGTTTATCGAAGGCCTTTATCATTTTACTTGACCTCATTTTGCAAGGATGAGGCAGTGGGACCACGCGATGCTCCATTCAACCATTTATAGGTTTTTGCCTTTTGAGGAGCAATTAGTTCCAGAGCATGTTGTAGACACTTACGATACGAGAAATCTTCAACTGTTCCATCTGTACGTACCAACATAAAGCAACGGGAATCTTCATATTCTTTGTGGTAACCAATCTGTGATAAAAGGGAAAGACCATCAGTAGATATACACATTTATTTCTCTATTTTTGCTTATGTAATTTTAGTACATAGGAGTAGTAGTATCGCGAGGTCAAACGTAAATGGGAGGAGTCTTACCCATAGTACATTGGTAACATTGTACATCACTCATATTAGGCACAAACTATCTAAGGCTTAACATCTGTAAAGGGATGAGCATGTTCATCCCTATCATACGATATTGAGGAGGGGGGACACTATGTCCCCCTTCTTCACAAGCTCCGGTTTTGGTTATTAACAGTAAAAAGTAGCGGTCAATGTCAAACACCTCACCATCAAAAGGTGGATTTAACTTAAAAGAAAATCCAAGTAATTCTAGCAATTTCATCGGCATTCGTTTCATGACTTTAGTTAGTATTTCTCAATAATCATGAATAACTTTCATCTAGATCACCTTTATTTCCATTGCTCCTTTTCCGATCTTCTCACTCCTTCTGGGATGAAAATGTAATGCCATCATTACTATGGACTTGTCTGCTTCACTTAACTCGCGATCAATAGCATATCTGCACCAATTTTGACAAGTATAAGTTAGTGAGAAATTTGAAATAGAGAAGTCACTTCCCACAAGAGAAAAGCAACAAGGTGGGTAAGCAACATGAAAAGGAAAGATAATACGTGAACAAACAAATTGTAGCAAAATAATGGGTTTCCTCAGATTTAAGCATACTCCTGAGAAATTGAAGATAAAGTATGTGTGACGTTGTTCACGTAAAATATGAATTCAGAGAATGATTTCAGCCTGGCGCATATAGTCCGACATCACCGAAATGTCTTGGCAAGTATAATGCTTTCTGTTTTGCTTAGGTAGTCCGTTTATCAGGAATAAGTTAGTTGCAAATTTAAAATAATGATACTTCAACTTGGAAGACTCAATGTCTGAAACATCGTCAAAGGATTAAATAATAAGCCTCTACATATATCTTTTCTGAAACATCGTCTTTCCCTTGTCTGGTCCCAGCAGAAAACAAGATAAAATGGAGAATAATGTGTCATGGATGAAGAATTCATGCGCAATCCAATATAAAAAAGATTACTCCATAGCACATTCTCTCTCCAATCTTTCTTTTGAAAACCAAAAAGAGGAAGGGAAATTTTGCTCACTTTTTCTTCCGTTCTCTTCCTTTGCTTAGTTTCCTTTTATCTTTTTTATTCTTTTTTCTATTGGGGGAAGGGGCGAGAAGCCTTAGGTGAAGAAAACACTTGATTATAAATGGCAGTTTAGCTAGTTTAAAGTAGTACGTGGATTAAGCCGGCTGGAGAATATCCTGAAAGCTAGAGGAGAGTGCTTGGAAAGAAAAGAAAGAAGTAGAAGGCTTCTTCGATAGTCAATGAGAAATCAGTAACCTGAGTGCCCATTTTGCTTCTACGGAAAAAAATATGCTCCTAATTCAAACTAAGATTCGTATTTGGCTTTAACGCACCTATTAATAAACATATGTTTCTAATGAGCCACGGAGAAAGATAAAAAGAGAGTAATGAAGAGCTAGGGGCAGCAATGGGTCGGGTCTCATCGTTTATGGGTCATGCGTCGAAAATTTTAACCGTGAAGCTACTGATTAAGCATCTGAGTTGTCACGTGTCAATCCATCTAATACTAATGGTTGGATCATTTCAAACTTACGCATTAACCCGTGCCTTGTAAAATCATATCTTTTACATACACATCATCTAAAAATAATATGAAGCAAATCATTCAATAGATAAGAATATTATGTATATCAATGCATCTAACTTCACTTATCTGACCAACAATTTAGCAAATTTACATATCAAAATATATGCTAACTTGATAAGCACAAAAAAAAAAAAAAAAAAAAAAAAAAAAAAAAAAAAAATCTCTAGATAACAACACAATCTCTATGTAGTAAAGAAAACACCTATTAATACTCAAGAGATAAATATTGAACCAGGAAAGCAAACACAAAATCTTTTAGCTAAATTTCTTTTGGTGTAGAAGACAGGCAACTGAAAATACAAAATTACTATCGAAGTCATTGTGTTTAACAAGTTAGATGGGCTCATTTTGACATACTAATGAGCTTTAAGCAGGTTGTTAGAAACCCAAAGGTTGACGCAAAGGTGAAGATTAGAGGTTCTGTTGTGTTGGGTTCACGTGTTGTGTTCCAAGTGGTTGCCCCGAGGAACAGCTCGGCTTTGTTAACAAAGAATAACCTTACTATAAGAGGTAAAGATAAAATATACATAGATAAGGAGGAGGAGAAATATAATTCATAGTCAATAAGTTGCAGCTAAATAGATAGTCAGATTCTATTTTTCTTCTTCGACTACTTTTTCGTTGGTGATGGGTTAGTATCTACTATCAGATTCTAAAGTAACTAGATGCTCGGATATTCTCCCGCCGGACTAACTCATATTAGCATAGACCAATCAGAGTCATTAACATTCCGATGACTTTGAAACTTAATTTCAAAGAAATACGAGAAAAAGTACGCAAATTCCAAATATAACAGTTTAAAAGAACTAAACTTTATCAACGAAGAAGGAATTGCATAAGAGAAGCATTGACATACTTGGACAACATTTGCTTCAATGCCTGAGAGAGCTTCTTTATGTCATTGAATGAAAGGAAACTTCTCAAATTTGCAATTGACCACTGGCTTTTACATCTCTTTGTATTGAGATCATCAAGTTTACAAAGACGTCGTGCAAGAGCCTTGTCAGCCGTTTCATTGTCTTCGTCAAGAGTGACCTTCACCTTTTGTCTATTTGATGTGACGTGGTTGCCCAGCAGAGCATACACATCTGTTGGTGCAGCAGGCTCATATCCCTGATGAAAAAGGTCCGGATATTTTAGTCAAAGTCTTAAATTGTTTTATCATATCACTTATCCTGGTCTATCAGATCCATAAAATTAAGATGAGAAATGACAAGACTGGAACGAATCTATTCACATTAAGTTTCTTTTTTTATAAAAAAATAATCATTAAATGTTTGGGCCAAAATAAAAGCTCCCATATACAAGTAGTATACCAAAAAGGTAGAAACCCTACAAAAAACATGGTTTTCTACAAAAAAACAGCTTCCCTAAGGTAAATATTTTCAACTTATGCGGTAATACTTCACATGTAATGTCAATAATGGATTTTGAGATCGTTCTATCTATATATACATAGTCAATAATGTCAATAATGGATTTTGAGATCGTTCTATTTATATATACGTAGTCACAAATAAAAGGAGACATTAATACAATATCGCATAATATGCACTATATTCACTGTGAAAATCATATCTTCTTTTTGGTGAGAAGACTGAAGTTCTTTTATAATGCATGCAAAAAGGAATAAGAAGGAGATGATTATCTTGAACAATAAACACATGCATTCTCCCAAGTTGCTTTAGGATTGTATAGTTGCCAGATTTTTTAGAACTAATTTTCCATTTAAAAGCATGAGCAGAACAACTCCATCGGAGACAAGTATCATATTATTAATTTTTTTCTCTCCTACAACCAAATTACGCTAATCCATCTGAGTTCATATCATAGCAATATAATTGGTAAACCAGCTTGGTAATTCCGCAAAAAAAAAAAAAAAAAAACAAATGTGAACTTCAGTAAAAAAAAATTGGTTTTATACCTTTTCAGAATAGATAATGTCAAATGAAAAACCAGTCCCTGTGGAAGGGGTTTTTCCCCACGCCAATGCTTCCAGACTTCCTTGAAGATCATCACTTAATTCTGTCTTGGCAGCCCTAACAAAAGAGTCCCCGGGATGCTGCATTGGGTTCAACACGCAGAAAAGTTTCAAAACTTGGAGATACATCTCCTTGACATATTAACTGTTATCACTTGTAATATGAGAAGTAAACTATTAGGAAAAAAAAAATAAGGGAAAAAAGAGTAAGAAAATTGGCAACACATAAATTTTATCAAAATTCTTTCCTTTTAGCGGAACAAAGGTCAAATGTGAATCACATTACCGAAAAGCACGCTTGCATAAATGGTGAAATAACACCAGCACACTTTCTTTGCTGTGCCAGCCCTTTTGTATTCAACGGAACAAATTCTCCTGTAGCTGTGAGACAATCTGCTGCAAGTACCAAGTGTTCCGGAAGGATTTTCTTGCCAGTTTCAGAGACAGCAGAATTTAGATTCTGCACTTTAACTCAGCGTTGTCAGAATTGTACCATTTTATTCTTGGAGTAAAGAATAAAAGGAATCTTAAGTGGAAATAACGTTAACATCAGAGTAAAGAAAATGTGGTTAAGTTATATATCAACAAAAAAAAAGGCTGTCGAAAATTTAGACGAAAAAACAGGAATCTCGTAACCAGAACTCACACGTAGAAAGTACTTCCATGCTACATCAACTCCATAGGCTACAGTCAGATCATGGACGTTATCGGGATGACTCCGCTCCCAATCAATCAAATCCATTATATGGAGGCAACTATCCACAAGTGCATTCCAAAAGTTGTTCCGGTCACAACTTTCCGACATGAAGACCTGCAAATATAGTTCCCCGGTAGAGCCTCTGGAAGATTTTGATGTACTTGGCAACTCTCTCCATAAGATATCAACTTTTTTAAATGCGGAGAAACCTAAAAAAAAGGAAACATCAAAGATAAACGACAAAATCAAATACTTTAAAATAGCAGCTCACCAGAATAACAAAAGGTATCCACAAGAAGAAATTGTGCTACAACTTTTAGAGATAGAACAAATATCCAATGTTGAAGTCACTTTCAAATGTCCTCTCATTTGTGATAGATATTATTCATTAATCTTTTTCACAATCTTTGACCGAAGGAATCCAACTACTTCAATAATCTAAAGAGGCCACAGACGCGTGACAATTCACATGCGAATTACACTCTTCTTTATGAAGATCAGGATAAAATGATAGAAATGACTTTAAACAACTCAATGTCCAAGATGTCAAAACTTTCCTGTAACTTCAGCTTTGCAAAAGCTGTGAATTAATCTCTTGTTTAACCTTTAACTCAACCCTGATACTGCCCGTATCAAGCAACTCCCTTTTTCCTTCCATAAAAATTCATGCAAGAAAAATGTTGTTTCCCTTTATAGCAATATCATTCAACATCAGACTAAGTCATAAGGACAAAAGCATAGCTAAATAGCATGTCCATTTCATGGTTTCTAAACCCACATTAAAGTGGCCAAAATGTTTGTAAAATGATTTGAGCCCCTAGAGATAATAGTTTCCAAACAACATAAATATCTAAACGAAAATTTAGTTAACAATCACTAAAAGATTTTCCCGTAGTTGAATAGGAATGGATTCAAAAGTCATAAACTTGAAATGGATACTGACAGACAACGAAATCCCTTTTTAATGAAAAATGACCAGGAACATAGCCAGCAAGGAACAGATTCCATGTTCTTTTCAATAACAGCAGAAGTCAAAACTCCTTTTCACAAAAAAAAAAAAATAATAATAATAACAAATTAACAAGTACATAGCTCAAGGACATCAGCTTGCTAGGCAATAATATGGAAAGCAGAAAAAAGATCTAAACCTTTGATACATCAGCTTGCTAGGCAATAATATGGAAAGCAGAAAAAAGATCTAAACCTTTGATACATCAGCTTGCTAGGCAATAATATGGAAAGCAGAAAAAAGATCTAAACCTTTGATACATCAGCTTGCTAGGCAATAATATGGAAAGCAGAAAAAAGATCTAAACCTTTGATACATCAGCTTGCTAGGCAATAATATGGAAAGCAGAAAAAAGATCTAAACCTTTGATACATCAGCTTGCTAGGCAATAATATGGAAAGCAGAAAAAAGATCTAAACCTTTGATACATCAGCTTGCTAGGCAATAATATGGAAAGCAGAAAAAAGATCTAAACCTTTGATCACAGTCTCAAGAAGGAATGGAATCACCAAATCACGAAGTGTATCCAGTAGTGAAAAAGAATCTTTTGAGGTCTCAACCACAGCAACTGCGATGCAAATTTTGGAATTCGCTTTTTGCATTTCAGCGGCTGAACAATCCCTACAACATTTACAAGAAATAAGAGAATACGAAGGCCTAAACAGTGATCAAGAGACTGTACAATAAGGTAGTGGAGGATTCAGAATGAATTTATTTCATATCCCCATTTCCATGCATCCAATAACAATTAAAAGATGAAACCCAAAGCAAAGCATCTTACTTGCATGTTATATGCAGGCTTGGAAGATCAATTCCAGCTTCCATTCTAGTTGATCTATATCTCATATTAAGAGCATCTATTACTGATTTCAGCTTCAGCCTTCTTGTCTTCACATATTCCTGAGAGAGCAGAATTTAAGAGCACAAAACCAATAAAACTACAAAAGGATAGGAAATGAATTTCTTATTGCATTACCTTATCTATATGAAAATGACAAACCCAGGGACTACTGTGAGTGCTTTTACATGTTTCAGGGGAGAAGCTACATCATAGAAATCTTTAGTCAGATAAGAATCAACCGAAAGGATATCAACAAAACTGGATTGCAAAAGTTTGAAAATGTAGGAAGAGCGTGTACCATATCATTACGGTTGAAACAATATCTGAAAGAAGAAGCCTTTCTAGATGACCCTTGACCTCTATAGCTCCATATTCAAAACCATGAGCCCATCTGCCAAGTCTTCTCGAAAGAAACAGAGTTGCAGTTTTCTCGCTACTATTACTCTTTACTCCAGCTTCCAATATTTTCTGTTAAAGTCACATCGGAATACCGAAAAGTTTTACAAGGCATTTCAGCAACAAAAGAATCATAAAGGGCCAAAAAAGGACAAGCAGCAACCAGCTCAACATCACATTATTTAGATCATATAATCTTGCAAGAAGAAGTGGCTAAGAAGTCATCGCGAAAGGCATGCAAGATGTTTTACCATTGCAATAGCTTGTTCTATACAATTACATGGAAAGCAAAAATCAATAATATGAACCCCAATGAAGAAAGAAAATAAGTGTATATGGTCGCTTTTGAAGACAATAGGAAGCTTCTATTCTTTTTCCTTTTTTGATCAATTCAATAGAAAGCTTCTATTAGTTTAATTTTATCTGTGTTTTTAGGTCAACAAATATTTTCCAACATGGAAGATGCTGTTAAATTTCAGTGTGTTCAACGCTTATAAAAGATGGATCCTTCTATCTCGTCTACAAGCCCCTGTGCTGCTTTTCTCTCTGCATCTTCATTCTTCTGCTCCTCCAATTTTCTGTTTCTCTTCCTCTTAGAATCTGTTTTCAATGCCTAGCTACAGCTGCTTCTTGTTAATCTCGGGTTACTATCATTTTCCCACTAATATTCACAAACAGAGAACAAGCTCTCAAGTGATAATTAAAAAAATGATAACAAAAATAATAAGTAATAATAATAATAATAAAAATATTAATAATATTGAGCATGAACTTTCACTTTTGCCCACCAAAATGGTCCCACTAATTCACTGTTGCATCCATATCAGTTTTATTGTCTATGCTAAAAGGGAGTGAAAGATCTTTCGAGCTAACTTTCCTATCAAATACAGAAATAACTTCACTCTTCCTATTCTAACAGTAACACCGAGTTCACTCCAAGATCACTTGCAACTTTATTTGCCACTAAGCAAAAGGTTTCTAAAATAAAGACTAAAACTTATGCCCACTATCAAAGGTCAAATACAGGAAAAATGAGGTTGCAGAAATTGTCATTGCAAATTACCCTATGAGTCATATCACATTTTTTTTAGAAAGAACAGATTTAGCAAAACAGAAGTGCAGCTTCATCATCAACTAAGCCAAATATTTAAAGATAGAAAGCATCAAGTGATTGCAGTTATTTCTGGTATATTATTGAATAGATTGAACTTGCGAAGTTGACAATTGAATTTGTTGATTGAATAAGTTAGTATTTGGGCCAGCTTAAGGCCTCTCATTAAAAAAATGACTTTTGGATCCTAGTAGAACCTTTTTCTGAATCATGGTGAAATTGCTATAAATGAATTTTTAAAAACTTGTGAAAACCCTAAATCAATTTGGTTTTTTGGGGTACGTCCAGCAGGTGACACCAAAGAATATGGTTACAAGGATATGTCTTTCTAGAAGGGTAAGTTTCCAGGAAAACGTCGTTAAGAACATTGATCTAGTCCACATAACATAGTAATGCCGCCCCAAAAGTATAAATCAGCAGAAATAGAGAGATAACCTTTAGGTTTAGTAAAGGTGATGGCTCAAGTGCACCGACAGGTAGATCCAAAGCACTGTATGCAGCTTCTGAAATGGCACAGGCTGCCAATGAACCAACAGGATGGCCACCAATTGCATGAGAAGCACGGTTATATGTAGAAGAAATTTGTTCTGCGCTGTAGTAAGAGAACTGCACAATTTGATTCCCGTAAGCATTTCTCACTGTTCCATCGTATCCACTGTACAGATCACGCATGAAAAACATAAGCTTACGGTTCAATGTTCCGGAAACATCAGCATGTCCACTAAAAGAACTATCACGGGTTGTCAATGAATGCACGAAACACTCTAGAGGATTCAAACCCGCAAGAAATGAATTCTCAACCACAGCACACGGGATGTAAGGACCAGGACGTTCAGGAACATTATGAGCTTTCTCAAAAGGAAGATGTGCTTTATGATTATTCCATGCATCACAAGAAAGTCGACGCGGCATTCTAAACGATAATGGAACCAAAGACTGCTGCAAACCAAGACACATGCTGTGTTGGACCAGTTTTAGCAGGTTGCCCTTACTCCCAGCTTTTAACATAGCCAGAAACGAATTCTCCTTGCTTGCATAATTATATACTAAATTCTGGATATCCCGAAAAACATGCTTGAAAGAACTAACAGAAGCTTGACTCAGAGAAGCTGACTTCTGCTGCATGATAGACATAAACTCCAAATTAAAACCCATGGCTTTCTGGCTTACTTCTAGGCTTCCGGCAAGGAAATCGTGATTATACCTCGACATCAGCAGTTGGATATAAGATAGTCGCTCTGCCTCTTGCAAACCGCAAAAGACTTCATCAATCATATTTTCTCGAGAATATGGATCAGAAGAGATGTAAAGATCGGACAATGAAACACTAAGACCCCTCATTGACAACCACTCACAAAGAACTGCTTGTGCAGCATAAAGGAGGTCAAGAGTGTCACCTCCATGGTGTTTAACAAGACTATAAAAGAGATTTTCACTGGCATCACGCAGCCAAGAAGAACCACCGGAAGATGTCACAATTTCCCCATCACTAATACAGACGCCATTTGATGGAAAATCACAGTCAAGGTCTGATGGCAAAAACAAGCTGAATAACTGTTTCCCAGTCCAATAACTCCTGTTTCTTAATGGTGCCTGTACAATAGCAGGCATCCCCACTTGATGAGGACAAAACATTTGTAGCTGCTGCACCTGGAAACGGTCCAAGAAAACTCCTTCTTCCAAAACTAAATGAGCAGCAGTTAAGCTGTCATGACTTAACGAAAGAAGATTTTGGCCACTCTGTCCGTCGATAAGCTGCCGATTCAGACCAACAAGCTCACTAAGCTCAACCCTAGAATCGATTGATTGCGGAACATAACCATGAAGGCAATCACCATCAAAATCCCCACGGAATGGAGAACACACAAGAGGATTGATTGAAAGAACAGAAATTATTGGAAGAATCCTAACAGACAGAGCAATTAGTGAGTGTTGATGAATAGATGGAGGTCGATTTATCAACACAACATCTCCATCAATAAGAGGTCTATATATTATATCCCCTCTCTGCAACTGATCCATTACACTAATACGAACTAAGACACCATTTCTACGAACGTGAATCGCCCCCTTCTGAAGAATCATAAGATCACAGTGATCAGTCAACTTTTCCCAATTCCGTGAACTTAGGGGTTCCGCCATATGGAGATCCTCCGCAACATGACACGGAATACCAATCTCACCTAGCTTTATGTTGGGATCACCAACCACAACCATGCGGAAAGCATGGTTAGTGCGTTTTGCCAGAACCAGTTCTTTCACATACTTCAAACCAGTAGCAGGGGCATTAGGATCGTTGGTTAGTGACCTCTCCGCACGTATCTGCAGTAGCATAGGCTCAAATCAAATGTAACATTGTTTTACGGAAAACTAAAAAATAAAGGGAAAGCAAAACATGGTTGCATCTCTTGCCTTGGAAACTTTAATTCTATTAAAAACACACATGCTCAAGTCATTTGCTGTCCCTCTGAAGTCAATCAGCTTTCTGTAAAGCCTATTACTCTCATCCTGGGATATTAAAAGCGGCATGTGACCAGGATATAAGAAAGCTGGGTGCCAAAAACTGTAAATCAATGATACAATCAAAGAAAAGGCACACATTTCTAATCACTTACAAATATCATGTGCTGCCCAAATTCTGTGACACGATGACTATTGGGAGTCAAGAGGCAGCTTTTAAGGAAGATTGAGTTCTTCCTTCTGAGAAGTCCTTCAAGAAACCCTGGATCAACATCTTTCAGAATGCTATATACCTAAAAGTCAGAATGTTAATCAGATGCACCAAAGAATAGAAGGGAAGACAGCAAAAACATAAATCACTAATGAAAAACACAGATACAAGCTGGTTCACTGTTCCATCAGAAAGCTTGGACGGTATTTGACAAGGGTGCTTGGACAGTATTAAAAAGGCCCAAAATTGACACTTGTACTTGCACCAAATTATAAAGCCCCCCCACCCCACCCCAAAAAGCAACTCTCATCTTTTTTTCCATTTAACCACCAGTGCTTGACAAAATGGCTATTAACAAACACTCTGATCGTGCGTGCTGTTCAACTGCTGCAGATTTGGACAATATAAAACTTTTCTACTTCCAGTCTTCCACTCATTCACTTTTTCTTGAGTTTTGACATTTCGTAAAATTGCAGGTCCCACTTCTTTCTTTTTAATCATTTTTTTCTTGACAGAATTTTTTAATCAGATGCATACCCCTTCTTCGCTTAAAGCCCACCGAACAACAACCCAAAATCATCACCAAAATCAGTTGCTTATTTTTTTTTTTCAATCGTCCAAAATCCCAGAATCATTACCAAAAAATCATCACCGGTAGGGATTGGCTCCATCAATCTCTTCATCATTTTTTCTATCCATTTAAGCTCTTCAAACTACAAAGCTCAACCCCATCCAAGCACTATGGTAGCTTCACTACAATCCAAAGAAATTTATAGTATGTACTCCAGTAGCTGCAAGCGCCTTCTTCAACCAAACTCACCATTTATAAAAATTTCAGATATTAAACTGAATCAGCCAAATCCATTTCTGGTTTCATCTCCATACATCAACCTCAAATGGAACGATTCATATATCTTTTTACGGATACTCCGCCACGTAGAGGTGTTCAAATGGGGAAATTGGGAGCTGGGGACCAGCTTTACAATCTGGTGCAAGTACAGGTGTCTATTTAGGTGTTCTGACTGAAGAGCAAATGAATGCGCTGCTTATTCAAAGTTCAAAAACATACATATTGCTAAATATTCAGCTAAACTCAGAAGTTTTGGATCTACATTCCTCATCTAACCCTTCATTACAAGGCGATTATCGCAAGCGAGAAACAACAAAAAGCTTCTGATTTTACTACAAATGAAGAGGGAAAGATCTAGAAAACTATCAATACTGTGCCGTCATTCTAATGGATATATTAACTGAAATATAGCTGCATCTTCCTGGTAAAAGATATACGCTAACTAAAAAGGGCTTCAGCACATGTAATTTCTTAGTTATCGGTGAAAGGGCTATTCAATCTTCAAGTTGTGTCTAATCAGTAGGAAAGATAAAATATATCACGAAAAGAAAGAACAACAACTAGAAGTTTTACCTCCCCAAAAAAATTAATCTTAAAATTAAAAAAACAGGGTGAAATTTTGACAAGATAGGCCAGTGCAAGAAACCAACTGAAACTGGTAAGAATTTTTGTTACCTGAGCATGTGTTAAAACTCTTTTGTACTTTGAAGAATTTAAACTTGCATCTTGTTGTGCATCATCTGGGATAAAATTCCAATAGTCAGAAGCCAAACTTCCTCCACAAGTTTGCTGAAGCTTCTTTTCGCTCACTTCTGCCATAATGGCAGTCTTTCCAAACATGTCTTTAGGAGATACTTTAAATTTCATTGGTGGATAACCTCTTAAAATTCCCTGCTTATCAGACAGATAACAGGTCAAGAAATTTTTACAGGGGGGAAGAATATAATAATTTACAGCCAGTAAGACTCACATCACAGTAATTGCAGGCAGATGTCGTATCAGCACCCTGGAAAAGGCAAAGCAAAGAATTTTCACCCTGGGAGCAAAAAGAACAGCACCAATATCGATGTGTCGAATGTGAAGTACCAACCACCATAACAGCATGGAATTTTTTTTAAGAAAAAATAGCGCATCTTTACTGCCTAATGGAATAGCAAGAAATAAACATATGATAAAGCTCTACACAAGAATGAAAGTAATAAATGTCATCTTGACAAATGAGCTCATATCCGTTTTCTCTCGATTCCACCGGAGTAACTAATTCCAAGTCTTCTGAACTACTTCCAGACAATAGTACATAGTGCCTTCTTGCTAAGAGATTATATGCAACAGAAATAAGGGCTACCAATTTCTTAAGACAACTGGACATGACCACATATCTGTGAATGACTGAATGTTCCATAAGAGGAGGGAAGTCTGAAGAGGCAAAATACTTCAACCGTACTCATAAGATGGAAGTAAAAAAAGGCGATATGCCTAAGAAACCAGTAAGATGTAACAGACTTCTTAAATACAAGGTGCTATTTTTCCCCTACAAACCTGATTTTAATCAATTTGTGGTGACTGATTCCACCAGGACATGAACAGAAAACTGACAGCATTGTTTAGGAAAGTGAAAATGCACACAGTTGTTTATACAAATGCACAAGAAATAGCATCTATTCATTGTATAGTGCTGAGTGGTGGCCCAGAATACCAGCATAGCATGCTACCTCGCCACAACAATGCTACGCCAACTCGTTTTATCTCCATAAACTAACTACTATCAAAACCCAAATTACATCAGCTAAAACATGAATGGTGGAGTAGGAACTTGGAGCAAGTGCATTAACAAAAGTAACACTAAACAACTGTTAGTAACTGAATTATAAAAAGGAATTACTTCCCTACATGTGATTTACCTGAAGAATTATGACAAATAGCTACCTGAAGAATCCACTAAGATGTTTTTGTGACAAATAGCTACCACATATGTTACTGGAAAAATAAGCTATGCTGCTAAAGTTCTCGTCTTTAATGAAATGGTATCAAGTTTCAGTACTGAGTGTATAGTACCTGACCTTGACCTTATCACGACGCACAGATTTGCATCCCGGACATACTTTGTTCAGGATCTTTGCAACCTCAGATATGAAATAGGGATTGAGTATTGTGAACGGGAAGTTTATTAATCCAAAATGACCTGGAAAGGATGTAATAGACTAAATATTAAAAACAATTACTTCCAGTGTAGGTGAAAGTAGTAATGCATGAGCTATTAGCAAATCATCAGCTTCCACTCATACCTTCACATTTTTTCCCATCTTTTGCACCACAGGTGGAGCACTCAAAGATTGGATTCGGAAACCCCAATGCAGGATCTGTTACTTCGTTCACTGATCCAATAACCTTAGCTGCCAATTTGGCCTAGAAAAGCAGGAAAGGCATAAATGTGGATAATCTCCATTTAATAATTAAATTTATTAGAAAGGTCTAAATTAGCAACTACATCCATACCAAATTTATAAGCCTTAGTTTGACTTGACATAGCCTATTATGACTAGACTAAGAAATAGATGGCAGTTTATAGAAAGGTGGGCTCCGGGCTCCAAATTTGTTTTAGATTACTTCATAGTTCATATCAATTTGAGATTTTCCAGGAATAAAACTGGGGACTGACAGATTTTGAAGTAGCACGGTATTTATAATGTAATTGTTAGTAAATGAAACCTTTATTTAGGATCGCACACCGTTTTGCGAATGACAGAAAAGAAAACTGAGACAAGCTACTTTGGCCAGTGGGACTAGATCCACTGCAAGCAACCAAGAGAATGAAGCAGACATGCTTTCTAATTTAAATTACACCAAAAGTTTGACATATACTTACTGCATCAGTCTCCGATAAGATATTGAAAATTATGCCCTTCAGAGTACCTGAAGGCACTTGCTGCTCAATAAGATCATGCTCCATCTAACTCTGGAAAATAACAAAGTGGTTCAAGAATATACTACAGAGAAAGAACAGAAAAAAAGTAAGCATAATTCATCTAACAATGAGAAAATACTTCAGCAATGCCTTCAAAACAATTCCACCCCCATGCAATAAGACAAGCCCATTAAGCTTTGTTTAAGAAAACATACCATTCGTTTTAGAAGCATTTATACGATCACAGACCACATAGCTATTATATCTCACTAGATTAAACAAACCCAAAAGTCCAGAACCCTTGTGACATTTTTTATAAAATAAATGGCCTATTTGATATTTAGAACAGGAAAAAACTATCTNCGAGGAAGCCCCGTCCGCGTCAATGATACAGCGGGTGATAACTCTTTGACTCCAGGGATGGCCCCATCTCGGCTGTGGATCTAATCAGCTCCATCTGACCGCCAGCCTCCACAGTGAAGCTTCCGGCTACAGCTTCCACTGCAGGACAGGAGTTGAAGTGAGTGCTTCAGGTGGATAAGCTTCGGCGCTCTCAACCTGGTTTGGATCGTTTGACTATGGCTCCGCGTTCTTTACAATCATAAGCTCGATCACGAGGGTCCAAATCAGGGTCTCCATCTCGCCTTATTTATTAACTAAGTTCGGGAAAAGAAAAATTTGCATAAGTTATAGGTATAGCTCAGGAGATGAGATTGGATCCGCATCATCTGGAACTAAAGAAGCTTCGGGGTCTTGATTTCCATTCTATTCTGCATATGGAATTAGAACCGGGCAACCCCATGATCGTGATTTGATCATCATTAGGTGGTGAGAAAGCACGCCTTATGATGAAGGGGGGAGCATTACGCCCGATCAAGACAGCAGTATAGTACGGCACATGGGATCGTTTGACTATGGCTCCGTGTTCTTTACAATCATTTGTCAGCCTTACTTGGGATGAGTTATTTGCCAGCCTTCCCAAAGGATTTGATTTGATAATTAGATAATTCCAGAAGTAAAACATGAACATATTAGCATATCAAAGATTTTTAATTGATATTGTTAGTCCTATATCTAGAATAATTAGTTCCTCAAATAACATTGCTTTGTGAAATATATAAATGGATATCAATCACTTTGCATCATAATGGAGCATAAAAGAAGTATACATCCAAGAGCCTGACTAGCCAAGCCGGGGCTTGGACTGTGGACAGTCAACGGGAAACCAAAACCGGGATGTTAACTTGCCAGCCTGCCATAAAGATATTCCAACAATCATTTTCAAATACCAGATGCTAAAATTGAGTTGTTTCTTTCATTTAAGGGGAGCATGTTTTACAAGAAGAACCAACTTTCATATCTTTTTGGTGATTGGATGATACTGTTAAAATAGGTTTTTGGTTTAGCCAAAAGCACATAAGGAGGTAACAATGCAGCTGCTAGTTAAGGTGCACAAAGTGGTATTTTTGGAAATGGTGTCAGCATATTTTCCTTCATTAAGGTCAATTAAATGACCTTAGAGCTCTAAATCGCTGCAATACTCATCCTTCTTTACCTGAGATGGTAGAAGCAATTCCATGAAATTCTTAACTAAGAGAAGATGATGTAATAAGAGTCCTAAATTACCAAACAATACCTGACAAAATAAAGGGAAAGTTCCATATAATGGTCGTGAGACTATCTATGTTACACCCCCAACATAATCAAAAGATGAGTTCCATAAAAATGTGAATGTTAAGATGGATATCCGATCATACAATATTGGACAAGTTATCCTACAAAAGTGCAAGTTGCACACAAAGATAAAATAGGAGGAACCAAAATCAAAGGTCACCCAAGATTATTTGATAGTGACCTCCAAATGTACCAGTCACAGGTGCAACATTATGATGACTGAAGGTGAAAAAAGAGCACGAGTAGGTCTATCGTAGAGTTCCAAGACCTATAAACTCTCGGAATCAATGTAGACTTAGCAAGAACAGAACACAATGGAAACAAAGGATTCACAAAAACGATACCAACTAGTTAGGATTATGATGTAATTGTTATTCTTACACTTACATTAGGTCTAATATTTACTAATCTGGTTAGATACTTGTACGTCAATGTAAGGATAAATGTCAAAGAACCTTTGGTTATAGAGAGCACCTAATTTTCTTTAAGAAACGAATTATCCTATATTTGAATGAAATAAGCCCGAATAGAGCAGATGGATATATAGGATTTATATAGCAGACTCCCGCTACTTTGGAATTGAGACAGTTGATTGATTGGAGAGAATCACTAAGCAAATTTATTTTGTCTTCCCACAACCTCAATTGGACTTCGTTGTTTTTGTTAAGTGTCTCAACCAAGCTTAGACCATATTGTCCTTTTAGGACCACATAATAGCCCCTAAATAAAATCTTTACCCTATTATTTCACTGGCCATTTTGTTAACTCTAGGGATAACGTAAAAATAACTTGGCTTTAGCATGCAAGGGCATCCGATAAATTCAATTCAGAACATCAATAGGCTTAAATAATCATGTCTGCCCTCTCTTTGACAACCTAAGAACACACGCTGATGATCTTAATTAAGCGTTTTTAACAAATACATTTTGTTCATGCAAAGAACTCTTCTATGCCACTAGCAAAACAGCAAGACAGCATGTAGGCGTTGTCTAACAAATAGAAACTTTTAATGCCTTAATTCACATAGGTTAAATTTTATGTGTACTTGAATTGGATAAACTTGCAACCCTTATACCTGAGTGGGATAGCCCAAGAATATTATAAAGCACGGATGCCCATACATATATCCAACGGGGAAGATATTGTGCATGCTAGTACATTTAATGCCCCAAATAGACTCTAATCCAAAATTAACAACAAAACAGTTTTGTTCAACTTTCTTACATTAAAATCATGCCAAACACAATTATTTTTTTTTAAAAAAAAGGTAATCTCTTGGGATGAAAAAATAACAATTTAACCTCCGCCCAAGAAAAGAAATCAGGTAATGAAACTGATAACAAGAACACATTTTACCTGCTAGTTGAGGCTTGACCCAAATGTTCTCAAATTAGCAGGGAGCCTCTCTTTTTTTCCCTGACAATAATGCATTCAAACCTAAATTTCATCAAGACTCTGCAGTAACCAACCAAAAAACGATCTTCTTCCTAATATAAGAAGAGAAATCAACTGATATGCAGGGGCGGAGCTACCCCTTGTCCAAGGGGAGTCAATTGACGCCCCTTCACCGGAAATTATACCGTGTATATAGGTCAATTTTTGTTATGTATATATTTTGACTCCCCTCCGCAAAAATCCGGCTGGTACGTTGCAATAAATGACATACATTACAACCATTCATCATGTTTCATTATTGAAAAGCAAATTATCCATTAACAAGCACATGTAAAGCAAGGGGGCCCAAAATTTTGTTTTTTACTACCTAAAAGAATAAGACAAAAGTCTAAAACCCCATTGATCCTAAAACCCTCCTCTATAAGCAAAACAGTTCAAACACCAAACACCCATTAATCCAAACAAATAAAATAAAAAAGAACTTAAAATCCACATTGCCCTATCCCATTACTCATCAATAACACAACTACACAAGACATGCAAAAAAATAAGAAACAGAACTATACATATATTACACATATACAGCTAGAGAAGTGATCAGTAGATAAAAAAAAATCCAATCTTTACATTAGAAGAAACAAAAAGGATCAAGAAAAAATCAGATGATCATTCAACACTATATTAACATCCACATTGATATTAAAGTTTTGATTTTTTACCAAAAAAAGACCAAAGCTTTCCACTTACCTTTGCCAAAAGCTGAGAGTTAAGCAGTTGTTGTTTTGGTTGAGGGGGTGGGGGTGGGGGGTGTTGAAGGGACTACTACTGTCTTGTTCTGGAAGAACTTTAATGTAAACAGAACAGCTAAAAGCAGAGAGGTTCAAGAAAAGGGAATAGGTTGGGAAATTAATACTGTGCTACACAATTCAAGACAAAATCGTAAATAATGTGAAAATCGAGTGCATAAAGATTTTAAGGGTTTGGTTTCAGAGTTCGAGATTATTTTTGGATGTAACCGTCGCGTCGAGTTTGTGAGTGGCGTCGCAGTTACGACAAAAGCTATAGGGGTTGGATTCTGTCAGATACTTAAACCCTGGTTTTTGACCTTAATTACTACGTAAACCCCCGATTCCTTTACATAAGCAAAACTCAAATTATCTATTATATTTCTCTTTTACATCTCCTTAAAAAAAAATATTAAATAAGAAAAAATTTTAATTATTTTATCCTTATTTTTATCTTAAGATAATTTCACTTCGTTTAATATTTACTCATAATTAGGATATTTGTAGTCTTCAAACACAATTAATAGTAAGGGTAGAATAGGAAAAAAATAACTAATCTACTCTTGAACTTCTAAAATGATAAATTAAAGTATTAAATAAGAAAAAATTTTAATTATTTTATTCTTATTTTTGTCTTAAGATATAAGTTCACTTCATTTAATATTTACTCATAATTAGGGTATTTGTAGTCTTCAAAAATAATTAATAATAAGGGTAAAATAGAAAAAAAAAATTAATTTACTCTTGAACTTCTAGAATGACAAATAATTTAAAACAATTATTTTTAGAAACCACGACAGATAATTTGAAATGAATGGAATAATAACTTTGAAGAATTAAAATTGATTGTAAGTACTATTTAATTTTAAATCACATTAATATAAGATTAAACCTACATTCTTTTGAAATTAATTTAAATTTAGTTAAGAAAAAAAGAAAATAGATACCAAAAACTCTATATGCTGTACTAATAGTAGCTGTAGCACTTCCGATATGTTTGTAATGAATTTTTTAAATTTTTTTAAAGACTTACATATTGTTCTCGTTCATCATTTTTTTGTCATTTTAGTAAAAGAAAGGTTTAAAATATTTGTCATTTTGACTTTGATTATTTTCGCCATTACCACTCACGAAAGTCATGTACCTATTTAAGGAATATATATGATAATTTAATCAAATACATCTTAAAATTAATGATATTAGATAATTTATTATTAAGGAGTTTTCTAAAGGCTTAAAGACAAATAAAAAGAATGGACTGGTTAGTATTCAGAAAACTAAAGTATGAGATTTAGAGAAATAAAATAATTAACATGGACAAAAATAGTTAATAAAGCACAATTACATTTGCATAACTTACCTCAACTAATTCTCGGCCTCATAGAATCTTCAGCTTTTTTAATAAAATTTATATATTTAAAAATTATATTAAAAAATACTATAAGTTATAATAATTAATACTTTAAAATTTTTAAAAAGTATATAAAAAACTTATGGTCAAATAACAATTCATTTTGACTCTCAAAATTAAAGAAGGGGTATCAATTTTTGGGGGATTGGACTATATATTGGATGAAGTTAAATTGGTATCAAAGGATTATAGGTGAATACATTTACGAAAAACAAGAAAAATATGTCTTTATTGAGAGGGAAAAGAGGCAAGTGGGTACATCAATAACAGTTCGAAATGAGTTGGGATTCGGTGTCAAAAAGTAAAAGTTTACTTTTCACACTTATTCTCTTGGTAATATAACCTTTTTAGTCATGTGAAATTGTGACGTGATGGGATTTACTATACCTCAAATTTTGTGGCAAACTGACAGTATTTCATATTTCCAATTTACCACAAATTGTTAGGCAGGTCCTAGCTTGTACGCTCTCCGTTTCAATTTATGTAAACCTATTTTTTTTTTATTCGTTCAAAAAAAATAATTAATTTCTAAATCTAAAAATAATTTAGCTTAAACTTATAATTTTACCCTTAATGAGAAACTTTTATAACCACACAAATACTCTGAGGTCTTTTTGACTTGTTTAGAACCATAAATTATAAAAGTCTTTATTTGTTTCTAAAATTTTGTGTCCAGCCAAACATGTTCACAGAGAAAGTACTTTTTTATACGTGTGAAACACCTAATGTAGAAATATATAATTGTGTTGGATCACGAGATAAAATAAATTTTTTTATAGTTTGCTTTGTACAAATTAATTATTTACATTGAAAAAAATTGATATAACACATAATTTAAAAGTAATACCAAACTGTAAGATGAGATATATATATTATATTGCCAAATTAATGAATTATCTATAAAAAGATTATGTACTTGAAATTTCACTTGCGTCTCCTTCTCTTCTTTCGTCATCATAAATTTCATCATAGTCGAGAAAAGTTAACTTGAAAATCTTCATTCATTTGTTGTCAACTCCATAACATTTTTTCTTTCTAAATCAAAGCAGGTCGCTACAATTGTATTATACAAAGTCGAGGAAAGTCAACTTTAAAATAGCTTAATTTTTCTGTAATTTGTTCGCGAGAAGGTTTATAGTATTTTCTAAAAAGAATATTGCTATATGCAGTTACAATTGGCCTATCATATCATTCTCCATTCTTTATTTTTTGTTCACCATTTTCCGGGTCACCCAACTTCAAAAAGATATTTAAAACAAAGAAAGAAAGAAAACAGAGAATGAAAATAAAAATAAAAAGAGTTTAGTCAAAGTACAAAATTAATAAATTATGATGATCTAAGAAAACATTTGGAATGCTATATATACGATTCGCTGATGCACCTTATCATAATGGTATCTAATTTCTCTATCAAAAGTACATTTTAGCACACGTCTGATATTTCTCTGCGAAAAGTACTTTTGTGGGCGTCTGAAATAAGAATTGTAAAATTTCAAAATAGGAGTAAAAAAATTTCAAGTGAAAATAATATTTGAAATTTAGAGTTATGTTTGGATATGAATATAATTTTGGGTTGTTTTTTAAGTTTTGTGAGTGATTTGAGTGAAAATTTTGAAAAGCAGTTTTTTTGAATTTTTCAAATTTTTGAAAATTTTCAAAATACATCTTCAGGTGAAAATTAAAAATTTTATGAACAAGTGACGATTTCGGAAAAAAGTAAAAAAATTTTGAAAAAAAAAAAAATTCTTATGTCCAAATGGGCTCTTTGTTTCTCTACAATCAATTTAATCATTTCCCCTCTTTAGTCTAATAAAAATAAAAAACTTATTTAAAGAACTGCTTGTGTTTATTTGAAGCGTTGAATATTTTGTGTTCTCAAACTCAGTTCAGATCCTCCTTAGTTAAGTAGTATTAGTGTTAGTATGGTATTATTTTATCCTTAGATGACTATTACTACATATTTTGTATTATATTACTTGTTATCAGTGCTTCTTTCATCTTTTATTTTGCTATTTTAGTCTCAAATCTAAATATATTGTATTATTACTTGTTATCCGTGCTTCTTTTATTTTTTCTTTAACTGAGGATCTATCGTAAACAAACTCTCTGCCTGTCCTAGCTTCCTCAATTCTCAGTTGTGGGAATAACACTGTGGTGTTGTTGTTGTTGCAAACTCAGTTTAGAAACTTTGTAAAAAGTATGTTTGAGCAAAATTTTGAAAATACTTAAACCTTTTTTAGTATTGATGAAAATACTTAACTTATTTTCGCAAGTTATTGTTTCTGATAAATATTAACTTTATGTATCACTTGTTTCAACCAATTCGTAAACGGCTCAAGAACACTAGTATTCTCATACTCTATCTTCTTCTTTGTATTGTTATTATATATTTTTATAGGTGATTAAATACTAAAAAATGATTAACATAAGTTTTTTATGTTAACACATTTTCAACGAAGACATTTCCTCGGTACCAAATGCACCATATTGTTTTTGTTTTATTATAAGAAACTTAAGCAGCGCTTAATCCACTATCATTGGGGAATTAAACAATCTTATTTTATAGTTTTTGTTTACTCTATTTTTGTCATGTCTTTTAGCGAAAAAGCAGCAAAAGAATCTTATTTTTAGTTTTTTTAGTGTAAGGTACAAAATCACTTTGTTTATGTCTTTTAGTATAAAAGCTTCCCCTAAAACGTGAACGGCGTCTGACGGAAAGTCCTAATATTCAACGTGGAGTGCATGCCTCAAATCTCAGAGCTCCTTATTAGAATTTGTTTAATGATTGAAGTACAAAAGATTGAAGACTCCTTATTAGAATTTGTTTTATTTTCAGAGCTCAAACACAAGATATTTAATTAAGGATGAAATGATTTTATTCATGCCGTTACATTTATATTAATCTTCGGCGCTAAAAGAAAAAAAAACTTCGGCGCTTCTATTTGCTGTTTTTTATAAACTGCCTCTTTTTAGTTCCTTTCTTTGATTAATTTATGTTTATGCATTTCCTAATTGCTCTTATCATCAAAGCATCCCAATATAAATGCTAACTCATTCTTATTAACATCCCACACTACACATTTTTTACTATAATACCATGGGAACAAAGTAAAACTCAATGTAATGTAGTAACACATTCTTTTGTATATTTAACAGAAAAGTAAGTCTAGTCTAGCTAATTAACAACGATTATGATGTCATTAAGAATTAAACTCGTAATGTTACGATTTATGACATGTCTATTTGAGTACAGATTATGATATATTCCCATCTCTTTTTACAAGTGTTTTCTCTAATCTCTCTCCCTCTCCTTTTTTCTTTTTAATATTAGGGTGTGCTTGGTATGAAGGAAAATATTTTTCAATTTTCTCATGTTTGGTTGGCTTAAATGTTTTGAAAAATATTTTTCTTATCAACTCATTTTCCTCCCATTGGAGAAAAATATTTTCCCTATCANGTCACGCCCCAAACTCGGGGAGCGCGACCGGCGCTCAACCGAGTGAACCCGGCCGAGCAAGCCTCTTATATTTCCTTCTACCCAAACTCAACCATGAATAAAGAGGAGATGCACTCCATTAATCAAACACTGAAAAAATTTCATTAACAACTCTCATTCCATTTCCATTAGCAGCTTCATTCATAATTTTTAAAATATTACCAGTTTATATATATAATGAAAAACATGTTTGCTAAATACCAACACTTCTAGTTTAATTCCCAACATCAAACACCACCTACAATAAATCTACGGAGCCTCTAAGTACAATAGAAGAGTAGTATGGAAGTGTCGGCAACAAGGCACCGGGTATACCTTAAAACAC